ATATTCTTATTCAATTCTATACTAATAAAAATCACTAAAAATTTGGCAGATCAATTCTATTAAAAATTAAATACATCTTCTACAGGATACAGAAATTTCACTTGCTGAAATCACCTACTTACAGATGATGCAGTTTAATTTTGTCTTGCACTTCTTCCCAATAAAATACTTTATGCAAAAACAGTGTAGATTTTTTTAAAAGAATGTACCTTTAAGAAATCATACAGAATAAAGAAACCAAAATACATTATTATATTGCTTCAGTATTTATTTTGATCATAAGGAATACTAACTTAGCAAATCATATATACTATTTCATGGCTTTTTTGACATGTGAAGTACTGTTTCATTGGCATATATGTCACTGAGGCATATATAGTAATATCTTCTATACATATATAGAAACATGTGTATATATGTATGTAAATAAATGTGTGTGTGTGTGCATGTACATACATATTTATGCATGTGTGTACATGTAAATATAGATAGATATATAGGCAGGCAGGCAGGCACACATATATTTACATGCGCACACAAAGTCAGACCTTACTGATCTATTCAGTGTCATTGTATTTAAAAAACCCTAAGGGGTAAAATTGTCTTTAAATTCACATCATCCTCAATCCTATGGCAGAGAATGAAGAGTTCACTGAGAAAATCCATCATAAACATATCTGTCTTTATTGGTAACTGATTAACATTGATATGGTATTATATTAAGACCTATTCCTCCTCCCACTGAAATCATAAACCACTGCTCATCTCCAGAGATTCTACCAGGGAGGTCAGCTTTAAAATACCTAGTTTCATCTGATTCCTGCTGGCAGAGACACTAATTAATTCACAGAATCTTCCAGCCACCTTCTCCAGGTCAGCCCCCATTTCCCTTCTGGGCTTGCACCAGCTGGCTGTAACCCCCTCCATCACTACAGACTTGCAGGGGGGTTGTGCCTTGGTGCTGGCACTCCTGGTGAATGTTATGCCACTGGCCCACATTCTTTGTTTATAAAAAATAAAATATACACAACAATCATACATTGAGAATTATAGCTGTTCTCTGCAGTATAATGATAAAATGATATAAGCATTCAATGGATCATAATGATCTACAGAGTAAATATGTATTGTGCTTTGCATGCATATACACAAGACATATATGTGCACACACACACAAACACACACTTAGCATATGTATTTGCTTTATAAACAAAAATGATGCCCTACTTTGGAAGGCAAATATTTACCTAGGTGATATTTTTAAAGTGCGATAGACAAATTCTATGAAATATATTCATGGAAATGATTCAGAACAGCTGTGTGCCCATATTCTGACTGTCAATATCTTTTCTCTCAGTACCCCTACTCTTCTAGTGAGATGATGATGAATCTCTGCAGGAGTGCAACTCTAAATTGCAGTGTAACTCCAAATTGCAACTCATATATTGCAATATATTAAAAAAATGTGAGACTTTCATTCTGCTTAAGAATAAACAGAAATTTACTATATCCAAGTTCATTGTGAGCAGATTCCACTGTATTCACCTTCTGGCTCACAGCTGCTGCTTCATGGGGGGTTAAATCCTGAAATTTTTTAGATGTTTTGTATTCATATGCCAAAGGCAAGACACTATTCTTAGTGAGATACTAAATTTAGCAACAGTTACTTACAAAGTGACTTACTACATATACAGACTGGTAAAGTCGAAAGAAGTACCTTTGATGGGCAAATGAAATCGATACTGTTTTCTGAATGGTTGATGTGATGCACATCGTAAATGTAAAAAGAAAAATTCAAATCTTAATTTCTGTAATACTGCCAAAGGATCAGTCTTCTAAGACATGAAAGTTAGTAAAGGACTCCAAGAAAGAAATCGTTGCTTATTTAACTTGGATTAGTTTTTTCTAAAGATGATCCTAGGTAACTTAAATATATTATTCTTAGCAAAGCTCATAATTATTTTCCTTTTGTTGTTTCTTTCTTATTGTAACTACATTCTTAATGTATCTTACTAAATAATATAGAAATAATTACTTTAAAAAGTGCCAGACAACACTTCCTTTACATGTTAGGATTAATTTTTGTTTTCCATTTTTAGGTCATGGAGAAGAGAAGTTAAGCAGATAGACAATTCATGTTTGGGCTATGAAGCTTAGGTTCATATTTTAAATCAAAATAAGTATCTCCCTGGAATTATTATAAGACAGCAGAGTTAACGAGCTTTAAAACTGTCAGTTCCCTTTTGAAATGTAGAACATCCTATATCTTCAAAAAACCCCAAAGCTAACAAACTAGTTCCTGCCTAATTGCCAAACACTGATTTGTATGAAGCAGTTGAGGTTACAAAGAAATCGTGAATTCTCAGCCTGGTTTCCCTGCTGATGAGTAAGAACTGTCTGTGTAGTTCTCCCAGAGGTGTCAGTGGAATCTCTATAGTGTCACACAAGGGTTCTTAGCTCAAAGTAAACACACTTTCCACAAACTCAGCTGCTTAATCTGTTTGCAGGTTGAATTATAAGATGGGGGTGGGTGACTCTGGGTGCTGGGAAGATGCACTGAACATTTCCACAGTTTCTTGATAAAAAGGGCATGCTATTGTCATCAAAAGACCTCACCCAACTGTGTAATTTTACTACATGCTCAAAGAACTGATTTTAGTAATAATTAAATCTAACCTGGCCAAAATTTTCCCAAGCAGTTAAGCGTGTTAAATTGCATGAATTCTTTTCATTATTACAGTGCATTGGCAATACTGTCATTCAGGTTATTTCTGCACTTTTATTATAACCACCTTGGTTTCAGGGGATTAAAGTATGACTGAAAATTTTCCTCTGGGACAAATCTCAGTCTATAAATTCACAGTCCACAAACAGCAAGTATTTTTGACTAAAATTAAAAACAGTAACACAATCACTTTTCAGTTAGAACATCAGAGAGGTCCGTTTTTATCTTATGTTGTTTTTAATACTTGCGTAAGTTGAATACACTCTGAATCAGAAATCTTAATTTATCAGGCTAAAATACTTAAAATTATATAAGTATGTACTTTATACATAAAGTCCTCAGAAATGGTCCATGAAGCCTTCACAATCTATACAGCATCAAGCACACTATGGACAATCACAAATAAATAATAACAGACAACTTATATGAATTTGTCAAAAAAATGATATTAGAAAGTGACTCCAGAACAGATGCTGTAACTGCTTCTCATAAGTTTATTTCTAAGTAAACCTGGCTAATATTCTGAGCATTTCTTACATATACATAAGTACTTAGATCACAGAACTTAAGGATTCTCAAGTAACGCCTGTAGTTTTTGAAGTGATGGCCTATTATACTTTTTTCTACTTATTAGATGTATGTTTGAATTAATTTTAATTACGTATTAGTCCCTGAAATGTTTATGGGCTAGTTTCTAGCTGCAACGTGAACTATGCTGGGCTAGGGTGTTGTTGCAATTGTGATAGTCCAGCGAATATATGAGAAACAAGGCGACCAGGGGGGCGGGGCGCAGTTGGTAACATTTTTCACTGGACCAATAGGTTCTTTCCCAGACCTGGAGTTTTACCTTCGATGACTCCTTTCCCAAAATGAGTCATAAGTGGGCATGTCTACATGAGACACTACATGTGCACTAGACTAATTCTGCTGCACATTAGTGTGTCATGGCAAAAGCTGTGCTAATGTGCAGCAGAATTAGCTAACTGCGCATTAGCACCACAAAAAACTTCACCAGCGCTACTACGCAGTAGTGTGGTTACTGTGCATTCAGTTAGTACCTGTTATTGCAGGTTACTAAACTGAATGTGCAGTAACCACGGTGCCTTAACGAATGTGTAGATGTGCCCAGTGAGTACTGAATCAAAGCTGATAGTATCAGGAGAATCCCATTTAGCTCGACATGCCTTCATTTAAAACAGTGTAATCAGAAAAGTGACTGGCTTTGTGAGCTTCCAAGTATGGTCCCCTCCTGACTTTCCCATTTGCTAAATGTACAAACGTGATAATATTGCCCCTCATATCACTGTACATTCTGTCTGGATTCTGAAAGTCAGTATGGACACTCGTGGCAGAGTGCCCCTGTGCAGTGCGGGGCAGTGGGGATTGCCCCCCCCGCACTCACGCGGCAGCTGCACCATCGTGTGGGTGCAGCATGGCTCGGCAGGGCACCATGCGCTGTCCCAGAGCTGGGTGGATCCACCTGTCAGCTGGAGCTCCTGGTTCGATTCCCCAGCTCTCTGATCATTCCTCCATCTCTTCCCAGGGGACGCAGCCCCTGGATCTGCATGTGGGGTTTCAGTAGACTGCTGCTGCTGGCTGGGGAAATAGCCAGAGCCACCACCATCCTCAGCTGGCAGTGGCAGCCTGCTGTCATCCCACATCATCTGGGAAGAGCTGGGGAAAGACTGGGGAGCTGGGGAATCACACCAGGAACTGGGGGAATATTCTGGGACCTGAACATTCTCTCAGCCCCTGGTTCGATTCCCCAGTTTGATTCCCTGGAGCCAGCAGCAGCACCACAGTCTTCCTGGCACAGGCTGCACCAAGTGGCTGCTGCTGGCTCCAGCCTTCAGCAACAGCTTGCTGAAAACTTGTGTGCAGCTTGGGGGCCTGTGCCCCCTGGGAAGAGCTGGGGAAAAGATCGGAAAGCTGGGGGAAGCGGTCAGAGACCTGATGAATCAAACTGGGAGCTAGATCTCAATATCAGACTGGTCCTTCCCCAACTCTTTCCCCTCCCTCTCCTTAGTTTCTGGTTAGTTGCAAGCAAGCCTGGCTTCGAAACTTGAAATATTTCAAAACTTTCAAAACATTTCAAGTGCCCCTGTTTCATTTCCAAGCTGTTTTGAAGCCTTTTGTTTCATTTCAATTTTGTTGTTTTGAGCTCAAAACACATCAAAACAGCTTTGAAACAAAACACCCATTGAAATTTCGCACCGCCCTAATATTTCATTTGGTTGAGATAAATGCCATTTTTCTAGAAGTAAAGATGACTTACTTTTGAATTTTTTTGTTGGCCTCTTCTGAAGCTTCTAAAGCTCCCTGAAGTTTCAATTCCATGTCTTTTCGGTCTGTTAAGGCTTTCTGCAGTTTGGTTGCTAACTCTTGATTTTGGCGATAAGTAGTGGACACAATATCCTCCCTGCTTTTCAGTGCGTCTTCATATGTACTAAGGGTACAGTTAAACTGATCCTTCAGGCTTACTTCTTGGGATAAAGATTTGTGTAAGCTGGTAAAATAAAGATATGCATATTATTAACTCACAGTATAAGCTCTGAAGTCGAATGGTAAGAATATCACACTTAGATTAATCTATTTACAATTATTATACATGGATCAGTATAAGGCAGATCTTTATTATATACCTAAACTGGAAGACCTGGAAAAACAGAGAAAGATGTAAGTGGACTGGTGGTACATATTATGAATGAAGAAATTGTATATAAATGTAATGTTGAGCTGACAAGTCTCTCTATTATTAACTCCAAGGAATGTAGAAATCAAAAACAATCATTTTTAAAATGTTCTTTTCTTAAGCGTATAACTCACAAAGAAAAAAAAAAGAAAACAGAAGGCATTCTCAGATTAAGAAAAAAAGGAATACATCTAAAAATTAAATCTTTGTAGATGAAATCTGTGTTCAATTCAAGTCCAGTTTTAAGATATGTTCCATGGAAAAAGCTGCGTATATGATTTACTGAGTGTGGATTCACTGATATAACAAGTATATCAGACTTTGTTTCACATGGGAAAACCATGGCTATATATTCTTTTTCTGTCTCCAGACCCTTCCCTCCCCCATCACTGTGTTTGTCTGGCCATCCAATAGTGTTAGAATCTGCATTGAGATCCTGTCTGGGAAGGCACTATACACATGGACAGTTGAAGTACATCATGCCCATGTCCTCACCAACCTTTCTAACAAGACCTCAAGGCAGTGCCTAGTAGAAGTGACATCAGAAGAAGCCTGTCCAGCCTCATGCACCCTGTACAAACTGCCCATCACCAAGAGAACTGGTGATTTTCAGTGGCAACTGCTGCATGGGGCCCTGACCATGGGCACCTCTGTCTGCCACTTAGACCCAGCAGCTTTGGCAAGTTGCCCTTTCTGCAAAGAGGTAGTAGAGGAGACCCTGTCTTCCTGGACGGTCACCAGCTCCAGCCATTCTTTGCTGCCCTTGACATACTAGACTTGGACTTCTCCAAGACTGTGTGCACTTTCTTTATCCCATACCAACAAGCCAAACGGAGCATGATCTACCTAGTCAGTTTTTCACTGGGCCAGGCCAACATGGTCACCCTGAAAAGCTACAGAAACTAGCTTGTAAGGGTCAGCTCCAAAGAAACTCTCTGTCCCAGGGAAAGAAGTAATGAGGGGTACTCACTGGCAGCAGGAGACACAGCACAGCAGGGGCGGAAGGAAGAGCCTGTGCGGCTCATCAGCCACCTCTTTATTCAATTAAGGCTGGCCAGTGACGTCAGCCTCAAATGCTGAACGGCAGAAATAAAAATGGCAGCTGATGCAGCGGAGAGCAGGAGGGAGAGCAGCACGAGAGGGGAGCTGCAGCTGCCACAGGGAGAGAAAAGGATCCTCCCCATGGGATCCGCGGAGCCCAACGAGCAGGGGACAGATGCTGGCAGTGCAGGGCAGAGTACCCTGACAGGAGCACACACGGGACAGCGAGGGAGCAACAGGCATGCTGGACCCAGGGATGGAACCAGAGCAGCACCCGGAGCCTAAGTAGACTCCAGGTGGGAGTATTGGGATGGCCAGGGTGAGGAGGAAGCCATGCCAGAGGGAGAAGACCTCGGGAGAGCCCCGAGGGGTTTACAATCGGGGCGGGTATCGCCACCGGTCCCAGCCGGGCCGATGGGAGAATGGGAGTGAATCCCAGAGGCGATGGGCAAGGAGTAAAGCGCCCCCCAGCTAGAGCCAGGGGAAGGATAGTAAGGGGGCATGGTGCAGCCACATCAGGAAGTGGCTCATTATTTTGTTTTGTTAATGCATTTTATTTAGTTGCCCTGTGCGAAGGGGGAGAGTGGAAAGTGCGGGATATCCCCGAGGAACGGGGTCGAGGAGGAGCCTCGGAAGGTTTTTTTGTGTCTCCCCGAAAGGAGTGGAGGCAAGGAAGGTCAATGGGGAGGGCCCACACAGGCGAACTTGGCCATAGGCCACAGGCATCTAGACGCCAAGCCACGAGGTGTTATCCCACCAGAGGGGATGAGGCCAACGGAAGGATAACGCACCAGAGGAGGCGTGAGGCCGGGGTCTAGGGGTGGTGGAGCCCCATGAAAAGACTGCCAGGCGAACCATGGGCCACCGAGTACACTCGACGACTAATCCTGCCTACTGAGGAACAACAAGTTGTGGCAGGAGAGAACGGGGGTGGCGACTCGAGGGGGAGACACCTGCTCGGTCTGCCACATGAGTCCATAAGGCACCTTACGTCTACCACAAGAGTGAAGGTCGCACAAGAACGACTATTCGAGGCCCGGCAGCCACCAATTGGTGCATTGGCCGGAAAAGCCTTGGGGGGCACAGGTAGGGACCACCCGGCAGACATGCAACCTGCTGAGATAGCCCCAACAGACCTGTTGGGTCAGAACCTACAGGCCTTGACACAGATCATGGGTTTGCAGCAGCAAATATGGGAGTGGCAGCAAGACTGGATGCAGCATGGCCTATTGGCCTTCAAAATGCCCAAGATGACATCTGAAGACCTGGAGGCATATATCAAGGCCTTTGAGCATCACGCAGTTATCACTGGCCTCGACAAAGGATACTGGGCCAGCCAGCTGGGGGCCTTGGTGGTGGGTAACGCCCAAGCAGCCTATAGGGCCTTGACCCGGGAGGAAGCCCAAGACTACAAGGCAGTCAAAGCCGCTATTCTCTGTTGCCTAGAGATCAGCCCAGAACACTATTGGCAACTCTTCCGGTCCAAGAAGGGGGCAGAGGAGAGGCAACTGCGGTTGTTACTCCAGTGACTCCGGGATCTCTTTGGGAAATGGATCAATTTGGCGACGTGTACACTTGCAGCCCTCATGGATAAAATCGTGTTGGAACAATTCATGAATGATTTGGAGGAGAGGACACAGTGCTGCATCTGCCAGCACTCCCCACTTCCTGTGACGAAGCACTGAAGCTGGCTGAGGCTTTTGCGGCCTCGGAGTTGCACTATCCACGAGAGAAATGCGGGACTATGCCACCGGTGCCGGTGACAAGAGAGGCAGAGAGACGGAAGCCCAGTTATATGTCCCCAGGAGAGGATATAGTGTGCTACCACTGTGGCCGGATGGGACACTTTGCGCAGGAGTGTCCGGGGCATGCCTCTGAGAGGTGGCAATCACATGGCTCCTCATGACGGGTGGTCGAGTCGCCTAAGGAGTCTGTTCAGGGGGAGACTATGGATTGTAGCTTTGGAGCAGGGGGTGAGAGCCCAGTATGGGGACGCCCCGTAGTAAGGGCCTGGATCAAGGGTCACCCGGTGTGGGCTGTGTTAGTTTCAGGCTGAGCTCAGTCGCTGGTTAAGGCCAATCTTTTGAAAGATGTCCCCGATTTTTGAGTGGAGACTGTGAGGGTGTCTTGCCTTCATGAGGAAATGCAGAAAATACATCGAGTATGGGCAAATCTCCAAGTTATGGAGTACCAAGGGGCATTGTTGGTGGGCCTTGCACCCCATCTAGCGTGCGACATGCTCCTGGGCTGAGACTGGGCTCCACTACATGATGTCATGGATTGGGTGCGAGATGTCAAGGTAGCTCGCAGATCCTTAAGGATGCAAGAGGGGTGGCTTGGTGACTCAGCGGAAGGAGAGGGACCCACTGAGGGAGATGGGGATGCCATGGTGGACCTGCAAGACATTGCCAGTAGCCAACAGTTCTGGCAAGCGCAGGAAGAAGATCCTGAACTACAGGAACTGTGGACATGGGTGGAAGGCAATTCTCAACAGCCTGCATCGGTCTCCAACCCTGGGATTCATTTTGAGGTAAGACACAACCTCTTGTATCAGGTCCAACCTGGCGGGGCGGATAAGGAAGACAGAGTACAACTAGTGGTGCCCTCTTGCTTTTGGAAGGCGGTGTGGCAATCCGGTCGGGGGTCATATGGGGAGGGATCAAACCACGAACAAGATATCCTGGTGGTTTTTCTGGCCAAGGATGGGAGAAGACGTGGCCCGTCAATGCATGGGGTGTCCTGTGTGCCAAAAGGCAAGGGAAGACCGGCCACCCTGAGCCCTGATGACACCAATGCCCGTAACTGATCTGCCCTTTTCATGAATTGCCATGGACATTGTTGGGCTGCTGCCTCGCAGCAGTAGTGGGTACCAGTATATCCTGGTGTTTGTAGATTATGCAACTAGATACCCCGATGCGGTGCCCTTAAGGTCCGTAATGGCTCCTCCGATTGCGGAGGAGTTGGTAAAGTGGATAGCCCGCATGGGGATTCCCCGTGAGATTCTGATGGACCAGGGGTGGAACTTTATGTCTGGAGTCCTGCAGGGGGTGTGTCAAACCCTGAGGATCAAACAACTGTGAACGTCTGTTTATCACCCCCAGACCAATGGATTAATAGAACGATTAAATGGGACTCTGAAGAAGGTGTTGCGACGATGCATACAGGGCGACCCACGACATTGGGATCTGATGCTCCCGCTGGCCTTGTTCGTGCTCAGGGATGCCCCATTGGAGTCTCTAGGGTATTCTCCTTTTGAACTTGTATTAGGCCACCAACCATGGGGCTTGTTGCAGATCCTCTGAGAAGATTGGGAATGTGGCCCCGCAGTCATCTCCAGCCTGTCGAGATATCAACAAGCATTCCAATGCCGTGTCCAGAGCGTGAGAGAGCTGGCTTCACACAATTTGCGACAGGCCCAGCAACAACAGAAGGAAAAGTATGATTCACACTCGAAGGAACAGGAATTTCAACCGGGGCAGAAGGTGCTGGTTCTGTTATCCACCTTACATAGCAAACTGTTAACCCAGTGGGAAGGGCCATTCGAAATTCTACAAAAGGTCGGCCCGGTTGACTACGAGGTTTACCACCCAGGTTACCAGCAAACGAGACAGATTTACCACATTAATCTGTTATGGGAATGGCAACAACCCGAAGGGTGAGCTCCATTCATGGAAGAGACGGTGGATGACCTTGGACCTCAAGAAGTCAACAGAGGCCTGGGGGTCCCAGAACCATTGAAAGACGTCCGCGTAAGTGATGAGCTAACTGCAACA